CGCGTGTCAGATCGCCAGATGAGAATGATGGTCGGAAATTCGATGGACGTGAAGGCGACGGCGCGGATCTTGACTCAGATGTTCAAGGCGATGGGTTTCTTCGCTGCGACGTTGAGGAACCCCGTTAATTGATGATTAGAGGCTGCAGCAGGTGATGCTGCTTCGCTGCTTTGAAAAAATTAGACGCTTCGCGTATCATCCGCACCAACCAATCCAGAAACGATGCCCAGGAACGCTGACGGAAGAAGGGAAGAAGAGACGCACATAAACCAGAGCGGGTAACTCCGGTGAGTTGGGAGATCTTTTGTGGCGAAGGTTGCAAGTGTTACTGCTGGTGCTCTTCTTGCACCTTCTGGTGCTGCTGCTGCTGCTGCTGCCGTTGCTGCTGCCAGTGCTGTTGCTGCTGGTTCTCCGATGATGCGTAGGCGGGTAATAATAATACTAATAATGGGGGGGGAGGGGGAGAAGGAGGAGGATAACATACCCAATGGTAAGAAGTAGGAAGAAACGTGACGAGCATAAGATCCTCTTATGCTGTTTCTTGGGAGTTGTTTTGGAAACCTCCTGGAGCGTCTGGGGGAGCTCTTGGGCGCCTCGGGGATCACCTTGAAGCTTTTTCGGGGTCTCTTGGAGATCTCCTGAATGCCTCTCGGAGCCCCGTGTGATATCTCTTGGGCGCTTTGTTGGTGGCCTCTTGGGACGTCTTGGAGGTCTTTTCGCGGTCCTGAGGGGCTCTTGGGCGCCTTGGGTGCCCCAGGGAGGCCTCTTGGGGCTGGCGGGGGTCCTCTTAGGGGTATATTGGGGGCCCCTTATTATTTTTATTAGGGGCCATCTGGGGCTATCTCGCCGCCATCTTGCGGCCTCTTCTTCTGGGGGCCTCCTGGGCGCCTCGTGGGGCCATCTTCTCGTGTGACAGCGATCAAAAAAAGGGTGGTTCCTGAATTATTGTCGCGGCCCCCCCTCGGGCGTTCCTAAACTCGCGTCCTAGATCCTAGACCCCTCTTCTTGGGGCGCTCCTGGAGCGCTCTTGTTGGGCGCTCTTGCGGCCGTCGTCCTGGGGCTCTTTTCTTGGGCGCCCCATCGGGGCCCTCTTCTTGGGCCCGCGTGGAGCCATCTGGAGGCCTCGGATGGCCATCGGAAACGAACAGACGAGACGGCGCACATCAGTGGTTTCCCTTCTAAGGTGTTTGAAAGATGTTGGCTTCTTCTTGGGCGCCTCCTTGTGAAGCTCTTTGGCCTCTTGGAGCCGTCTTCTTCTTGGGGCGGCCTTGGTGCCGCTTGGGGCATCTTCGGATGCATCATGATGATGAGGAATAACAGTATGCTAGCATCAGCTTGGGCCATCTTGTAGCTCATCTTGGGCTCTGCAAGGCGCTCTTGGAGCCGTCTTGGGCCCTCTTTTTGGACACTCCAACGCGTCGCAAAACCCGTCGTCCAGGTCCAGGAGGGGCAGATGTAGGGGGGGGTTAAATAATACCCCCCCCCCCCCCCGACGGGGAAAAATGAGGTTGGAAGAGGCAACTCCCCAAACAAACAACACCTACGCCCAGGAGGCTGGTGTGATGATTAGCACGGTGCTCAGTGCTGCTGCTGTTCTCAGGATTGCGCTGCTATGATATGCCGTGGCGCAGCAACGTGCAGGGTTGTTGTGATAATGATACCTGACCCTCCTTCTTCTTCTTCTCCTCCTTATCCTCCGCCTCCTCCCCCTCCCCATCATCACCCCCCCCCTCCCCCGCTTCTAGGTTTCTTCTAACAACATGTTATTGCGAAGACAGCAGGGCCACCATGCTGGGGCGGGGCAACGATGGTTCATCATCATCATCATCACCATCATGACATCGCCCCACTTGGGGCCCATCGATCCTTTCCACGGGGGGGGCGGCGGGGTC